CTGTATACTGTTTACACTTTGTAAAGTCAAACACAGCAATTCTTTGGATGATTTCTGGGGATAGCCTTAATAAGAAAGTCTGTATCTACTTAGCATCTCTCTATATTTTTGTTTTCTGCATTTCAGAGTCTGCCTTGAAAGCTAGTCCTTAGGGTCTGAACTGACTGTTGAGGCTCTGCTTGGAGTTGTTGCCTTGTCAACCTTCTTGTTTGGGTCCCTGACCTTACCCTGGCCTTGCCAGTGTCTTCTTCAACTGTCTCTGTCTGAGGCATGTCTAAAGACTCCATTTCATGTCCCAGCTCACCCCCAGAGGGGTCTTTCTGCCATGGCTCCCAGCTCACCCCCAGAGGGGTCTTTCTGCCATGACTCCCAGCTTACCTCCAGAGGGGTCTTTCTGCTATGGCTGGCTTTTGTGTCTGTTACACTGGAAACAGTCCTCTGATGAGAGGTGGTGGACGCGGGCCAGGGAACCAGGGAGGCACCAAAGGTGAAGGATGGGGTCATGGACCCAGATAAGAAAGAGGGAGGAGGTGGGCAGAGGGGCAGCTAGGTTATCTGAAGAGTTAATAAACACACCTCTCTCCCTTCTTTGGAGTTTCCAGCAGGAGATCAAAGGATTTCTGGGGCAGGAGGATGGGCTCAGAAAGCAGAGGAATGAGGATCTGGGACTGTTTCAAGGAAATCTGGGAAATGTGTTTTGATCAGCCAGAACTGATAGTTGGTTGGGCATGGGCCATTCCATCCCAGTTAAGGTGTGGGCATGTGTTTGGGCTTGGATTCCAAAGGTATTGGTTCAGAGATGAGCACCCTCTGTGGCTCCCGACCTTTGGCCAACAGAGACTGGGGAACAGGAGACCCAAAGTCAGCCTAGGTCTGGGAGGGTGGCATAAGTTGGACCAGGCCAGCATGTCCAGCAACACCTGTGGGCCCACTGTGTGCTGAAAGCTCAGAGGAAGGCTATTTTCCTTCTCTGGCTCCATCAAAACCCTGGATGCTTCAGGGTCCCTTGTATAAGAAGTGTGCTGAGCTAGGTGGGGGGCTGGCCATACCCACCCTGTGTGCTCAGGAGGAGGCTGGTGAAGACTTACTTATCAGGATTGACAGGGCCAGCAGGAGACAGAGTGGGCTGGATTGCGGTGCCAACTGTCCCTCAGGCTGTTGCTCTGGTGACTTCATGGATTGAGTAGGAAAAGGAACATTCAGTCCCTATGTGCCCGGGGCACTGTTGGTGAAAAAGAACCCAGGGCAGCTTGGGAGCCTGACCATATGCTGCTGTGACCCATGGTGTGCCTGTTGTCTAAGTTTAGCTCAGCGGGGAGCAATCACTTCAGTTTAGTCCTTTCTGAAATCAGAGAAGGGACGGAGTTCTGAGGCTACCTCAGCCCACATCAAGGAGCAGCTGAGCATAGGGCAGTAGGTTCATGAGCATCAGGGGCCTATGGCAGTGCATGAGCCATGGTGTCTTCAGGGTTACCTGTCTCCAGTCAGTGTGTGAGCTACCACTCCTGCCCTGGGAATTCTCACACCAAGACCTGGCCTTCTGCTATGTACTGTTTGTTTGGGAATAGAGAGATAGGTCAAGTGCCTAATGCCACAGAAAGGGACCTTGGTGGGGCTGAGAAAAGCTGATGGTGTCCATCCATCCCAGGGAGGGGGAGCTTTGCCTTGAGGAAGGAGGGAATAAAGCTGCTTTTTCCTCACATGTGCATCTACTTCATGCTATAGCATGAAGTAGCCTTCCTAGACACACACACACACACACACACACACACACACACACACACACACACACAATCACACACCATCACACCATCATACAGCATCTGCAGAAATGCCTATAGGAACACACACGCACACACACACACACACACACACACACACACACTGACGTGGACCCTTCCCTCACTGGAGGTCACACAAGCACAACAGGACACACACCTGACTATCTCTTCAGAGTCCTAGTTCTGGCATGGAATGGAAAGCTGTTCAAATAGCATAGGCTGTCACCTGGTGTTCTACACCCACGTCGAGGACAGTGGCTCCAAGTGACAGATGCAAGGCTAAAGGAAACTGCAGTCTAAGCTCAAGGTCGAAGTGCTCCATCACGAGATGTTTTTAAACAATGCCCAGGATTCGTGGACAAGTGCCAAACTTTAGCCCATCACAAACTCCCAGTAAAACCAGCCTCTCCTTCTGTCTGGGTGAGCAGCCCTCTCACCACTGGGGAGTGACAGCTCCATTCAACTCCAGCTGAAGTCCCCAAACTGGAACCTGGCTTGTCATGTTGGAGGCATGTAGCCCAGCTTGGTAACATGCTAACATCTTGCTTCTCCCATATCTACCACAGTCACCACAAACGTAGGAATGACCTTACTTCCTTAAGTCCCTTCCACCACCATCCGTCCCTGGACACTCTGAGCTTCAGTTGGACTCACATAAACTTCCAGTCTCCTGAGGGTGGTTTGGGGACAGGTGGTGGTGGGGGAGGGGTTCTCATAATGTTGTGCTCAGTTGTGAACTAGTGAAATGGGGATAGGGAGAGTTCTAGCACGGTGGTTGTTTCTCCACTGGGCAGCCCAGTGTGATCTTAGAAAAATGTTCAAAACTTGAGTTGTGGGCCTAAGATTCCTCAAGGTTCAAGAAATTTTATTTTGTGTGTAGCAGACTAGCTCTCTGAGCGGTAGGGGTGGGGTGGGTGGGTAGGGGGTGGTAAGCTTTCCAGAAATGAGAATTCCTGGTAGTATCTTTGTCCTGCTTTGGGTTACCACTGTCTGATGGGGGGCAGCCTCCAGCAGCACAGGGCTTCAATGGGAATCCATGGAGTTGGTGAAGCTAGACATTTCTAACTGAGGGGGTTAGGGGAAAAGGCACTCACAAACTCTCTTGGTGTTTCCTTCAGACAGCTCTACTTTAAATCTTTAGGTACATATTAAATCCTTAATAGTTTTTTATACCAGGAGATTGAGGGCAGAAATGAGTATAAGGAATCAATCATTCAACCAAACCTAGAAAGGAGAGTACATCAGCCAGGAATAGCTGGTTTGCTTTGTTCTTGTTCCCTGGCCTTAAAGAGTTCCACATTCAACTCAGTGCTATTTAACAAAAACATCTTAGTCTAACTTTGTTATTTTCAAAGTTTTTGTTTCTTCCGTGATGCACTCCGAGACCTGTGAACACATCTCCCGACATTAGGGTTAAAAGAATCTAAACTAGCTGGGCTACTGGGATTCAATTGTTAATCCTTAACTTGAGCTGCTCATCAGGTGAAACTCACAGACCCTGGCTGTGAAACATATCCTGGTATTTATTTTTATTCATCAAAACTCTTTTAAGTTATCAATATTGTTATCAAACTAGATAGTACAGCTTAATGGGGGAATCATCTTCTTGACAATGCAGAGGTGACAATGCCCAGTAAACCAGGATGTTTCTAAGAGATGAGCACACTGTATCACAGGCAGAGAAGGTCTGCCCACAGCCCCTCACACCATGTTAGGTATCAGAGAAAGACAGCTGCAGCAAACATGTAAAGGCACCGCAGAAGCAAAAGCCATTCCAGGGTCTGCAGTACGGTGGCCTTGCCTAAACAAGACTGACCCAGCAGAGGATTCCTTTCTGGTGGGCTGACACCCAGAACTTCAGTTGCAACTCACTGCTCTTCTGCATGGCCAATGGCACTTTGTCTCTCGCCAGATTTGTGAAGTGCTACTACAGGCATTTAGGGAATCTTCTCCAGCACCTCTGTGGGGAGGCCTGGTTCCTAGAGAATACTCCTGATGGGAAGGACACCGTCCCTTGCCATGGCACATGGGCTACTGAGATGGAAATAAACCCTAACATATCAAAATTGACTTTACCATCCCCGAGATAAATATTAAGGCTCAGAGTTTGATGGCTTCTCAGAGGTCACATAGCATGCATGCCTCAGTCCCAACTAGAACCCAGATCCTGACACCCTGCAGTTCAGTGTCACTGCCATCATGAGGATGCTCGTATCCTTTGGTGGAATTTGGGAAGGTTGGTGGTACTAGTAGATCACTATAAAAACTGCCACCTTTAGGTATGTGTTAATTACCGACTCCTGTGAAATCACACGACTATGACATTTTGGATGTAAAATAATCAATCTTATGATTCAAGCCATTGCTTTCTGTCCACATTTATTCAGGGATGGAGGGGTATCTCTAGATGAGCTTGGAATGGGTAGCACTCCCATAGCACAGAGGTGTTCTGGGCAGTAGCTGCATTGTCTGGGATGGGGCTTCTGGCTGCTGCAGGCAGTTAGCAAGGCTGATGGCTGATGAGGGCAGGGATGGACTGCCTGTTCCCATGTCAGGAAGAATCTTAAGGTCTGAGACTTACACTTGCCTTTGGAATACTACACCAAGAGTCTGAAGATGGGGGTAGGGGCAGGTGACTTCAGGAAGATCTCAGGGGGCCCATGGGAAAGGGTAGGTGTTCTTCTTCTGTAGTGACATGCCCTTGTTATGACCATTTAGAGCCACCTGTACAGAATGGCTTCATGGTCAGCAAGGATGAGGGGAACAAAGTAAGTGGCTTTGGGCTCACAGGCCTGACTGGCTTGAGGAGACAGAGGCCAAGACCCAGAGACCTTCCTTTTCATTCGGTGACTTGTGAAACACCTCTGGCAGGGAAAAAATGACAGGGACAAAGGCTGGGGTCATGCTCCATCTCCTCCAGCCATTCGAAGGAAATTCCCAGTAAGATAGAGAGGATAGGGCGGCATAAGTTGACACAGTGCAACCATAAGGGGACACGGCCCTCTCCCTTCAGTGCTGGAGATGTGACAGCATGAATGCAGGAGACATGGACATGGGCTGTGACCTTGAGACTTCACACACCTCACGGAAAAGAGGAAGGCACAGGCACCACCAGTAGAGGGTTAGCTGGACACTCAGGTGTAGGTAAAAGTATCCCATGTTTAATGTCAGCGGGGAGGGGACACGACTCTCAGGAGAGGGGTTGATTCCCAAGAGCACTTACTCTCTGGGATTGACTACCCTACCTAAAAAGAGGGGTGCTTTGTTTTCTGGGTCCTGGATGAAGAGTATGAAGGGTCTATTTAGTCTAACAAGAGGAATATCAGACCATTGTTTACTTTCAATGCATGAACCTGTAGTGGATTTTATCCCCATTTCATCGAGGGTCAGCATGGCCTTACTAACCACCTGTAAGAAAGGAAGCAGAACCATGTCAGAAGGGGGCAGGAGCCACCACAGCCTAGAACAAGATCTCGTGAGGAACTCACGAAGGAAGAAGCTCCAACAGTTTGTGTCCGCCCCCGCCCTCAGCCCTCAGCCTGCTCCATGGCGGCCACCTTTCCCCTCCCTCTCCAGTCGTTGTCACTTCCATGCTCCCTTCCTGACTCCATCTCCCATGGCCTTGGATGCAGCTCAGAGCTCCACAGTGGTTGGGACATTTGTATTTCATGTCCTTTGCACAGGGAGTGCCCTTGCCAGTGTGAGCTGTCAGCCCTTCAGAGACTGGGTTTCTGAAGCTGACGCTGAGTGTTCAGACTCCAAGGGTATCCTGCCCACTCTGAACTGCCTTTCATTTCCCTGAACCAGTGGTATCTTTGGGAAAATCATTAATACTTCTGACTTCGTAGTTGACCAGTTGCTCTAAATGCCACAGGTGGAAAAATTCTAGGATAATGTCCCAGGCCACTAAGCCTACATCTCTCTGTATGAATATGGGTAATTTAAATCCCAAGAATTCAATGGTCCCAAGAAAAAGGTGAGATTGAGATTCAGGGAAAGCACTTACATTATCAGCAGAACAAAAAAATCCCCCTATGGCAACTTGACCTCTGACCCCATCCTCCAGTAAATCCCAAAGGTCCTCCAGAGAAGTTCAGCCTTGCCTTGATCCACACCCTTTGTCTTCTCCTTACCCTCACACCTGAGCTGCACCTCTACCTATTTGACTCAAACAAATTCTGGAACCGCACTGTGAGGTGACCTCACCTTGAAGGACTTCTGAGGTGTTTGTTCCATGATCACTGAGCTGTTGGCTTTCTTGTTGAAAACAGGGGTGATTCCTAGTAGCTCCATTATTGTGTCCACGTCATGAGACTCAGACAGTGACAATGTGGGTATGTGTACCTTGACCATCCTAGCAGGGAGGAAAGGAAGCTTTCCTTTAGTGTGGAAGGAACACTTTGTCCCCGGAGCCTCTAAAATGCCACCTCCTCTGAGAAGCCCTCCAGACAGACTCAGGTGTTCACATGGAACCATGTCTCACTGTGCCCTACAGTGTTTGGTCACCCCCTCTTACTCAGCCAGGGTTACCCCGCCCCCCAAGACATGACTCCCAGGAGAGTGGGAGTCAGCATAGCTGAGTGCCACAGTTCTCCTCTCCCTGTCATTGCCATGCTGAAGGTTCAGTGCTCAGTTTGGGTCTTGGGCTCTCAACAGCTCTCTGCTCTCCGTTGCAAGTTCTGGGCCTCAGAAAGTGCTGTGCCAGGCAGCAGAGTGGCACCTTTGCCTATAGTTCACCTCTGGCCTATCTGGGTGTCCATGTGTTTCCTAGCACACCTCACTTAACAGGCAACAGGGTGTGGGTTAGCTTACACAGCACTGGTTCACTGATTTCTGGGGCCTGATACACTCCACGCAAGAGCGACAGAGGAACGGAGGAGTCTCTTGTAGTCATGCCCTGGGTGATCTTTTCTGTCTGAGACTTTTCCGCAAGGCTCTTTTCCTACCCTTCAAACACCCCATGGACTCTCCACCTTGAACTCTAACCCGCAAGGTGGCTAGGGCCTGAGAGCCATCTCCATCTTCTTGTCTCAGCCATAATATACACTGCAGCTGTGGTCTCTGCCCTGGGCTCTGCCTATTGAGGCTACAATGTGTATGCCATACCTGGGTCTGATTTCCCCGAGGACAACATGTTCACCTCTTCATTTTGAGCATGGTTCTGTCAACAAGCCTGGCCTATGGCATGGGAATGAACACTTGTCTGTCTAGAAGCTCAAAGCGGCTGTGGCCCCAGCTTCTGGCCAGTCTTCTAGGGCCTTTGTCACATAATAATCCGATGTTGGGTGGTTCTGGGACTCACCTTAGGCTAAATTGTTGAGTCATCCGGCGGAAGTGTGGGAAAGTCAATCTCTCCTCTACCTTGTACAAGTTCTTGTTTTTAGGTATGATGAAGTAGGCTATGGCGCTGCCTTTGTTGTTGGTATGCATTAGCACCGTGCTAGACAGATCGTTGACTTGGAACAGATGATACACACCCACGTTGTTGACCATCGGTACTTTCATGGCCTGCCTACGTCCTAGGTAGAAATTCTCCATCTTGATGAACTGACAATCAAAGTTGCTGATAATTTTGCCTGGAGATGATGAAGAGGGGATGTCAGCTAGGGTGGATCTATGTCTGCGCGAGTGTATCAGAAGAAAGGAGCAAGGACTCTTCTCTTGGAGCCCTGGTTTTATCAGCCAAAAACAGAATAAGAATGGGTATAATATGGCACAAGGGCTTTGTGAGGGTCGCTTGAACTTGGGGAGGGATGCAGAATTTGGGTGTATTCTATCAGATTCCAAAGGTAAAGTGTCTTTGAAAAAAAAATCAATATTAGGTTTACTTAATGGTTCCCTGGGGATTCTAAATCATAAAGACTTAGGGGTCAGTGGCCCCTAAGTCACACCTGTACATTTTTTTGGTTTTGTTTTCCTAGGGGCTTCTTGTCCTTTTCAGGCAATGGTTTAATCTATTTTCAAGGCACACCTTTCTAGTACCTTGAGTCCTTTCCTGAGCCCCTAGATGCAGTACAAATATCTGGGTAGCTTTTCCAGGGCTGTACAAAAACACGATCATCATGGCCATCAGAATATGTAGGGACCTCAGGGAACTATACTCACAGGCATGACCCTCATTAGGACCCTCAGAGACCCTGGCCTCATGTTCTCATTGGCGGGGGGACCGGGCCGGGGAG